GCTGGCTGGGACAGGTTTGGGCACCTGTGGGTCCCCATGAAGGATGTTGCTGAGGGAAGGGGCTGGGGGGCTGAGAGCACATTCCCATGACTCAGGGCACATCCCGGAGCTCTTTTTGGGATCAGGTGTCCTTGGGGAGCACCCACAGCTGCTGTGGGGCTCAGCCCCTCTGCCACACCTCAGGGAGCAATCCCATGTGCCAAATCCATGACCAAACCCTGTCACCTCCCTGATGGCCAGTCAGGGGGATGGGACACGAGCCAGGAGGGGAAGGTGGCCTCTGCTAATGACCCACATGAGCTCTGTGTCTCCTTCCAGCACTGGCCACCAAGCAGACCTACGTCAGCTACAGCAACCACGCCATTTAGCTCCGGGAGCAGCAGAGAGCCCAGCTCCTCGCGGGGACAGCGGCACAGGACAGGGAGGTGACAGCTCCTGTGGGCACAGTTCCCGGGGAAAACCGCCATCAACAGCAGCAAAAAAATCCATCAAGAAACACTAAAACTCTTCCAGCGCCCAGGGTGGCGATGCATGGCTCCCACAGAGGGACAGCGGAGCGGGGGGACGGAGAGCGGGCAAGAGGGGATGGACTTCGGCGAGTCTTTGGGTTTGGTTTTTTTCCTGTATTTTGGCAAAAAAAGAAAAAAGAAAAAAGAAAAAAAGAAGAGCCCCAACATTTTCCCTTTTTTGGAATTTGTGCGATTGTTTGTGGTTGTGCAGAACCTTCTGTTTTCTCTCTTTTTTTATTTTTTTATCCTCCATTTTCTTTCGTTCCTGTCTTCCTCCGTCCCTCTTCACTCTCTACCCCGTATCCTACCAAATTCTATATGTTGCAAAAAGGAAAAATAAATAAAAATACTTAAAATTTACATTTAAAAAAAAAGAACAGACAGCAAAATAAAATAAAATAAAACCTAGACTGTGTTCAAAGTGCTGATTTCTATAGGTGGTTCCTTAATGTATGTGATGACCATATGGATTGAAATATGTCTGCTTTATGTACTGACCAGTCAAAAAACAAAAACATACAAAAAAAAAAACAAAGTTCAGTGCCTGGATGTTTATGAATTATTCGATGACTGTGTAGAGCATGATCATTTTTATACGAGGAGATTTCTAATAAAAGACCCTGGTTTTGCACTCGGCGTTTGCTGTCTCTTGGTGACTTGGTTTCAGGAGGTGACAGGGAAGGTTTTGGGTGGCCAAACGCTYTGGGASAGCTCAGGGCTTGGTGTCCTTCCTSTCCAGGCATTCCTGGAGATTSCAGGTGGCTGCAAAYGAATCCTTGCAAGAGGGGATGGGACAGGGAGAGGGGAACTGAGCGTGTGGGGCACACACCACAGCCAGTGCTCAGCAGTGGGGCACGTTTGGAGCAGAAAGGGTTGATTCCTCCTCTTTTTCTCTTCCCCAAAATGGGCAGAGGCTGTGAGGATGGAGCAGAGAGGATTTTCCAGGTCTTTCCATTCCTTCAGGCTGCCCAGGGAAGCGCTGGAGCCCCCATTCCTGGAGGGATTTATTTCAAACGTGTGCAGATGTGGCACTTGGGGACATGGTGGCCTTGGGTTAAGGGTTGGACCAGAGGATCCCTTTCCAGCCTGAAGGATCCAGGACTTAATTAAGGCATTGCCCTAATTAGCAGCTCTGCCCTCCCTGTGAGGAGGATTTTTCCTCCAGGCTCCAGCCTTTCCTTGGGGTGGCACAGCCCTGTGTGTGAGGGACGTGGCTGTTCCCAAGTCTGGGCTGGGCCTTTTTGGGGTGGTTTTGTGCCTCCTTTCTGCTGTTTCTCTGTCTGGGCATTCCCAGTGTTTCCCTCTTGGAATGGAGCTGGCTGTGCTTGTTGGCTGCTGGATAAAGGGAGAAGGGTCCAGACTTCTCCTACTCTTTTGGGAGAGGGGGAAAGGAGGCAGGGAGAGGTGCTGGGTGCCTCCAGCTCCTGGAAAAGCTTTGTTTCAGGTGCCCAGYGAAAGTGGTGATGGCTCCCTGTCCGTTTGTCCCCATTCCCCCAAAAGTGCTGGTATTTCCCCCTTTCTGACCCTGTGTGATGTCACCTCAGTATTTTTCACATTTCTAAACCTGTCTGTGTGTTAATCACAGCTCTGYTCTCACCCTGGGGTGTATTTGGGGGGCACCTGAGCCCCCTGAACCCCACGGGAGCTTCAGCCAGGGATCAGAGCCAGAGGAAAATKCAGCCATTCCCTGCTTGTGCACAGAGGACAGAGCCTGGCTCCAAGGCACGAGTTAAAAAAGGGGGAAAAAAAGCAGCGTAATGAAAAGCTTGGAACTTTGATAAGATCATACTTGTCAAAAGAGCTTCTCAGGAGAAAAAACTGCTCCGTTCCCAGCGCATCCATCACTGTCGGATCGGATGTGAGGCACTGCCTGGTTCAGAGGGCTCCCAGAAAACCCGAGCTGATGTCTCTGCTGCTGCTCCTGGCTCGGAGATTCTGCTCTGACGGTGTCACCAGCAGCTTTCACCCTGAATTCTGCCTGACAATGACTGGAAAGGCTTATTTTGACTTAATTYCAGCCTCCCCCTGCCTCCCCTCACTGTGAGGAGGATGCTCTGAGACTGCAGAGATGGCCCTGTTTTTGTCACCCCAAATCTGTCCTGAGCTGCTGAAGGAGCCCAGTCCCTCCCAGCCCATTCCAGTGGTGGATGCAGTGACCTTCCAGCCCAGCTGGGTAATTTATCCAGCACTTCACAATACAGTGCTGTTTAATCCTAAACACCTCTTTGATTATGGGAGCTAATTAAAAAGGAACAGTCTCCAAGCCAGTGAGAGGGATGGGGATCCAGCCAGGCTCTGCTGTGGCTGTTGCAGCAGGGAGTTCATGGGACCTATGAGGATCCAAATTCTGCTTTTMTGCTTTGTTTAATATTTTTCAGTGTTGCTCTGTCTGTGGCTGAGGAGAAGAGCAGAGCAAATTCTGATTCCTGGATATCAGATTCCTATTTTTTTGGTATTTTGAGTATTTTTTTTTAAATGAGGTGCCTGTCCAGAAATTGGTGCCATCATTTCTCCTCCTCACCTCCCTTAGAGCTTTAAAAGCACTTGCCTGATTTTCCTCTTATTTCTGTGGAGTGCTGTTGAATTTAAACAACAATAATTGCCTGAGTTCCCTGAGTGCTTGACCCGCAAATTTTTCACTTTTCCTGGGACTTTGAGAAGAAAAAAATCCTGGGCTGGTGCCAGSTCCCTCCATCCCCTGCTCACATTTTCCTGCCTCCTGGAACTTTCTATTGTCCTTGGCTGCTGTTCCCAATCACCAACTCTTCTCCAGAGCTCCCTTCTCYGGGGACAAACGAGAACTTTTGGGGTCCCAGGGCACAGCTGGGGGCTGGAGCGGGAGCTGTGCCCCCGCTTGGAGCAGCAGCAGCCTGGAACCAGTCATTAACTCTCTTCTGTGAGAGGCAAATTACAGACTTCGGTGGCATAATTAGGCCAACTCGATGGGAAATGGAAAAACAAGATAATTTCCCTGYGAATTTTCCAGCCTGCCTGCCACCTCGTGCCTCACTTGCTGCGTCTTGGGGAGAATCAGCCCCCCTGCTCCTSTGGGCCTGGAGCTGCAGCTCCTTGGGGAGGAAATCTGGAGATGGGGATGGGGAGAATGGGGCTGGAGGAGATCTTGGTTTGGACAGGACAGGAGGACAGGGCTCCATTCCCACAAGGAGAGCCCCAAGGACCTTTTTTTTGGCCCCAGGAGAGCTGAGTGATGCTCGGAGCAAGGTGGAGCTCGGGATCAGAGCAGAGGGCAGCAAAGCTGAGRTGGATTCTGTGGTTCTGTTCACGGTTCAGTACCATCTCTGAGAAAAAACTGGTGCTCATTTCTCTGCTCCAAAGCGTTGGAGGAGCYGTGCTGAGCCCCTCAGTGCTGCTGGGAAGGTGGGCAGCACCTCTGGGTGGGGTTGAGGGGACAGTGGCTGCCCTGGAGGGAGATGGAACACCCAGCCCTGTGGCTGGGGAAGGGCCAGGAGCAGAGTGGAGCCTTCAGAGCTCCCTTTGGAGCAATCCCAGTGGCTGGAGCCATGGATGGAGGCACGTGTTRTGTGTCCAAGGGTCTCTCCCCAGCCCCAATGTTCTCTTGTAGGGCCCAGTGAGTCAATGGTGGTCTGTGTTGAAATCTCACTTCAGTGGTGAAAGCTGCAATTAGCATTTAATGAAGCTTCTTGCTTTTATTTTTAGGTAACCTCCGATTCCCTGACTGTGTAATTTAGTCCTCCATTGCTTGGAGATAATTAAAGTATGTCACTATAATTTGCTTTTTTTAAAAGCCTGTAATTATGTTTTTATTGAGAATAAAAAACCGGGGGGAGGGGGAAATGAAAACAATGTTAGGGGAGGAGAAAGCTTTGGATGGGCAAGGGGACTTCTTCCAGCTCGACAGGTTTGGAGCTGGTTCCAGGATCCTGGGTAGGCTGGGGACAGAGGAAGAGCTCTGGTTTGAGTGGGAAATGGTGAGGAGAGGTGTTTGAAGTGGAAGGGTGAAAACTCTGGGGCTCCTCAAGCCCTGACTGTGGTGGGAGCTGCAGGAAGGACCAGCTGGGCTTCCTCTGCTGCCTTTTTGGTGGTCCTTGGCCTYGTTCTGCTCCCTCCATCCACCCCCAAAGCACCAGACTGCAATGGGAGACCAGGACAGCACAGCTATCAGAGTGAATTCTGACTCCTGGATACCAGATTCCTATTTTTTTTTTGTATTTTTTAATATATTTTTTTTTAATGAGGTGTCTGTCCAGAAATTGGCGCCATCGTTTCTCCGCTCGCCTCCCTTAGAGCTTGAAAACATTTGATTTTCCTCTTATTGAAAATCTTCCTTGCCTGATTTTCCTCTTATTTCCGTGGAAGGCTGTTGAATTTAAACAACAACAATTGCCTGATCAGAGACCTACGCAGAGATCTCATCCCCGCTCCCAAAACTGCCCTTCTCAACCCAGCAAAAATCCGCGGGCACTCAGAGCTTCGTGTTCCGCTGCTCCCCGCGACCAAACGCGCTTTGCCGGAGCATCTCTGCCCTCCCCGCTCAGCCACCAATTAACAGGGACGAATTAAACGTCTCTTCTCAGGCCTGACAGCGCTGCGCAGCCCCGGGGGGATGCTCGGGCTCTGTTTGCATCTGTAAACGCTGCTGCTCGATGTCAAACAGCCCGCRTCCCTCCAGTCCCCCCGGCGCTGTCTGACACCGAAAGTGCCAGCCGGAGTGTCCCTGCCTCGCCGGTGGCCCCGGGCCAGCCCAGTGAAACCAGTGCCTGCAAACTGGGCTGGGCTGAGAGCGGAGGAGCCGCTCACCTGCAATTCACAGCCTGGAAATGGGCTGTTGGAGGGAAGTTGAATAACGAATAAATTCARGATAATTGATTGGCCCGTGGCCAGTTCGCAGCCAGGGAGAGCTGAAATGAGTTGAATTGTCGGCTTTTTTTCTTTAAGTTAGTCTCACTCAAAAATGTGAGCGCTAAGAGGTTACATTTAGTTTGGAATATATTTAATTCATTAAAATGTTGATCTCTGCTGCAGAGTTCAGATCTGATTCCAGGCTTTATTCCTTATCTAAATGCAAAGGTTTCTTGCCAGAAATACAAAGCAGAAAAGAAATCTCGGTGCTTAGGAAAAGTGACATGATGGAAGGAGCTGGGGCTGGACTGCGCCGCACTGCGGGGAACCTGCTGCGACTTGAGCTGTCACCCTCACCTGACCATTCCTGTTTTCCTTCTTCCCACACCGGGGTGCAGAATTTGGGGTCCCACCCCRCAGTGTCCCCGTGTCCCGGGTGCTGCAGGCGTCACCCTGAGCTCCCTGCAGCCAGTCCCTCCTCAGGGCACCGCGATGCTGCGGGATTTGGTGCAGTCCCCTGCAAAACTTCTCTCTGGAGCTGAGGACAAAGTGACTCAGGAGAGTTTTGGATTGAACAGAATCAGGCCAAGGATTTCTATTTAAGTGTGTCCTCCTCAGCCCCCAAATGCCTGCTCCCCACTCAGGTGTTTGGGTTGGTGGCACTGGGGACGAGCTCAGCTCCTGCTACCCTCGCAGCTCGTTTGTAACCCCCCCTTGCTGTGCAAAAATGCCCCTCCYCAGCCCGGTGTCACCGCACCTTCCTCGCAGAGCCTTTGTGATCTGCAGGGGATGACAAAGGGAAGGAGCAG